ACCCAATACACTATAGGCAAGTAATTCGCAAATTATACACCCAATACACTATAGGCAAGTAATTCAGCAAATTATACTCCCAATACACTATAGGCAAGTAATTCAAGCAAATTATACACCCAATACACTATAGGCAAGTAATTCAGCAAATTATACACCCAATACACTATAGGCAAAGTAATTCAGCAAATTATACACCCAATACACTATAGGCAAGTAATTCAGCAAATTATACACCCAATACACTATAGGCAAGTAATTCAGCAAATTATACACCCAATACACTATAGGCAAGTAATTCAGCAAATTATACACCCAATACACTATAGGCAAGTAATTCAACAAATTATACACCCAATACACTATAGGCAAGTAATTCATTATGTATCCCTGGTAGCACCCATCAGCTGGAATCTACTCTGAGTTTGGCTCAGCAAATATTAATTTCATTTATGTTTTATTTTAGTTGCAGGTGATGTTTTCTCAGAAGACGATGTACATTTGATAATGGAATACAAAGCAGGTGAAACTTGGGGAAAGTATAGCACACCACGAGCAAATAGGTAAACATTATATTATGCATAATACCACTATGTAGCTGATTAACCTACAGCCCCAACATCTCTATTCAAACTAAAAACTGACTTGTTGTTTTATGATGAAAAAGTAAACTAAAATGGGTGATATTTTGATACTGAATTACATCCAGTGAGTCTTGTGTGCACATTGCTTCAGCCTTTAAACTGAGAATTTGACACAGCTAAACTTTGTCTGAATATTTACTAGTAGTAAAAGTGAAATACAATAACAACTGAAAGGAGTTGTAACAGACCAGGGCTTTACATTTATACTCTGTTGTCTGAAATGCATGTTGCTTATATTATTACTGTGATCTGTTAACACATCTCCTATTTTTTTTCCTCTCATTTTTGCTGTCCATGAAACCTTTCAGCAGTTGACGTTTTAAGGCAAACAAGTTTCAGTTGTCCGAAAGGCAATATTGCCTTGGGCAAAGGACTTTGTGTAAAGCCTTGAAAGTTTACCTGACAGGTATTTTAATTAGTTAATTAGAAAACCAAGATGACCTCCCTTGTCCACAAAACTACCGGGTATATATTTTCAGAAAGCTTATTGTATGAATTTTCAATTTTTTTTTTTTTATGGACACTGTAAAAAAATTTTTTAAAAATTAG